TATACAAGAACTCTATATTTCATTTCATACTTGGGGGTATCGATACACTCCTCAGTGTACTGATACACAAATAACACTCGATGTTTTGAGGGTATCGATACACTCCTTAGTGTACCGAAACATAGATGGCATTCAATGTTTTGAGTGTATCAATACACTCCTCAGTATACTGATACATAAATGGCATTTGATGTTTTGAAGGTATCGATACACTCCTAAGTGTACCGATACACACTCATACAAATACGCATGTTCAACTCATGAGATATCGGTATCTCTCCTAAGGGTACCGTTACACTAGGCCCATAATAGCCATTTTCAACTCGAAAATCACTAAAAATCCACCCAAAAACTCTCTTAAACACATACTTTGAGTTTATAAACCCACCTTTATACCTTCAAACCAACTTGTACACATTTATAACTCTCAAACATCCCAAATTCTCATTTAAACACTGAATCTTCAAATCATACTCAACATTCAAACATGTTATTACTCAATTCTATCACTCCTAATCTTTTAATTAACATATTGACAAGTCAAAAATCTTATTTAAACTTCTAAAACTCATCCATAACAAAATTTCATCTAAAAACCCATTTTACAAATCCTTCTCTAAAATACTCATCTTGTTGTTTAAATGCTATATAAGCTTTCCTTAAGCTTATATAATAACCAACCTTCCATTACTAAACCAGAAATTAAAGGAACAATTAAAAATTTAGATCCATACCTTTGCCACTGGTGTCCACGATGAGAAGAAGAAGAGAAAGAAAGAGTGCAACTCTTATCTCATTACCTCATATTTATCCTAAAATATCATTTCCCTACAATTTACCATTTTGCCTTTGTTAAACATTCATATTTTCTAATAATACCCAACACACAAAATTCCTCCATAATTCACTAAACTTATCACTTATTCTAATTCAACCACTGCATTTATAAGTTCCTACAATTTCGTCACTTACCCGGTAATTGGGATGTTACACAATACATCAGATCAAACCAGCTTAGAGATAAATGTAAAAGAAAAGGTAGACAACATAAATAAGTTCATCAGTATGTAGAATTATCGGCTAGTAAAAGGAGAGGCTACACTAAAAAAACTTGGGAGCTGAAACTTATTGGTTATAGTGTTATCTCAATTGCAGGTGTGATTGTTGGTATAAAAATGCATTGTTGATTGTTCATCATGTGGTTTAAGAGTGGTGGTGTAACACCCTTAACCTGTATATGTCTCGATATACGAGTCAAAGATGTCACATCAACTTAAAAACATTTACTGAACTGAAATTGCCTAAAATTTTGTTTCATTTGAAAATACTCTTATTTTAACTTTAAAAATATTTTTTAAAATATATCTCAACTATTATTTATTTCTTTGTCACAGGAAAATAAATTCATTTGTTAATCAGTAATTTTACTAAACCATGTCTTTTCGTGAAATCTTTTAAGAACATAATAAAGTAATATAGTTTTTTCATGCATAGATACTGATAAAAATAAACTAAGTAAAATAAACTAAAATAGTTCTAGTTTACTATTACATATTATTAAAAATAAATACGATGAATAGAAATCACTGACATAATTATACATGTCACTATAAGTCAAAAGAAACTTCATAGATGTCTTATTGATACTGATGATATATATGTCTTTTCAAAAAGATGTTTTGATATCTTCTTACTGATCATACTTATCCTTATTAGAACCTACGCATGAAAATCATCACGCGATAAGTATAACTTAGTGAGGTAGTAATAAAACTAAAGGTGAGAACAATTAAATAAAATATCGTAATATATAAAATCATTAAAATAAAATAGACAGAATTTTCAGAACGTTCAAACCAAATACCTGATGTTGAACTTTATCATAAACCTGAAAAGAATCATTTGATAATTTTCACAAGATCATAATAAATCAGATCAGACAGAATAATCAGTCCATATTCCTTTGTAGTCATACACTTTTAAGAACTTTCTTATTTCATGTTTATAGCCCAAATTATATTTTAAGAGAATATAAGGTACGTGAGTCAGACGAGTGTGCGTAATACATATCTCAGATCATCAGAGTCACAATAGATAAGCAGACACAGTGTTATCACATCGGAAATAACAATATACACACAAAGTGTATTCAGATCAGAATATATATACTAGTGTACACTTCGATACACCATAATATATCAGAATCAGAACATATAATCACTCCACCTCATGGCATACCAATTGTACCTTTGAATCTTTATATAACATACAGTGGGCTTTCAGTTCATTTCATAATCATTTGATAAAAATCATATCAGAATCAAAAATATATTTAATTAACATTCATAAAATGTGATATGGGCAGTTCATACCCAAAATCATTTATAAAACTTATTAAAAATATTACAGATATAATTTCATAGTCAAAACATAATTCATATCTTTGAAATAAATAATATGAGGTTGACTTATCGTAAGTCATCATCGATCAAAATAATTAAATAAATAAACTCCACTCACCTTTGCCTCACTACAGAACTTTTATACAATAATCCTAATCACGAGCTTTGTCCTTTCCTTTCGGATCATTCGAATTGCTAAATTTATCGTAGTCTGACAATACCAAATTATAACACAAAATATTCGAACTATATATTAGTATTGTATTAGCATAAACTGATTTTAACATTCGAAAATATATAAAAATCGAGATTAAATCGATATCAACTAAATCACACTTCCATTATAATTTCCAAGTTCTCAAATACTCATCCAAATCCATGAATATTTATTTTCATCCTTAACCCTTCATTTTTGCTAATTTACACAAATAAGCCACAATGAATTCTTTTTAGAATTCACCTCTATCTTTCCATTTAATTCATAATGGTCATTCACCATTATGATCATTGCACATAAATTACTAAAATTCTAGCACTTAAATAAAATGCTCAAATCAATATCTCAACATTTCAAACATTTATAATTTCAACTCAAACTTTCCTAACTTTCGATTTTCAACCACCAAACTTAATAAATTTGCAATTCAACCTCAACTCAATGTTTAATTCAAAATTAAGCATACTAATAAATTTTCCAGCATTCAATAATTTACTCAAATAAAACTTCTTCATTTAAGAACTTGCAAACAAGTCCCGAAAGTTTTGGAACCTTTCAAATTCCACCATCTAACCAATAAAATGAATTCTTTTAGAATTCTTCTCAACATTTCCAATTTATTCAAAATGGTCTCTTTCCATCTAAATTCAATTCCAAACATCCAAAAATATACTCAAACATTTAAACATTATTCTTCAGCTTCTAACCTATTTCCACTTAATTTTTAAATTTTTCATATTCAGACAACTCGTACTACCTTTAAAGAATCAGTATTATGTTTTGATATACACACTGTAATATATTTTCGTTTATTCCATTGCAAAATATACTCGAATACGAATCTATCCATATAAATAAATCCTTCTAGTCCATTCTGTACAATTTATGGTAAAATTTCAAAGTTGACCGACATAATATGTTTTGTGCAGAATCTGCTGCCCCATTGTTATGACCTTTCTTCGGTTAAAAATTCATATCTTTTTGTATTTAACTTGAAATTGATCCCCATTTGTTTTAAAAAAACTATATTGATATACGAACACAAATGTATAAAAATAACCTCCAAATCATTTTTATATAATTTATGGTGAATTTTCAAACTCACTGCCATATTCAAAATCTAAACTATTTTCATTAATTTGCATCCTTAGGTTCTTCCTCAATTCTTACAACCAATTCTTTAGAAATCACTAAGCTCTTCATAACCCCAAATCATAAAATCTCATCACAAATTTATCTTCACCATTAAATTTTGGTACCAAATGATAGAGAATTTCATGTGGATTAATTTTCTATCTAATAGCTAAACCCAAAAAGCAAGTAAATAACTTCAAAAATGAAAATAAAATTCCTTACCTTGAAGAACCTCAAGTTTCGGTGGAGAGAGTTTGCTGCTGAGAAAATGTTCAGCTTTCTTGAGTATTCTAATGATAATTATCTTAACACATGGTATAAATATAATTAAATTGAATTAAAAATTCGATCTAATAGGAAATTCCACTTTTGCCATTAATGAAACTTCACTTTACAACTATGCCACTCTATTACATCATCCCTTACCTCATCATATCCATAAAGAAAACATCTTAATTCTGATTTTATACTTCTATCCTTAAAATTTTTGAAAATTGCAATTTAGTCACCTAATTCCAAAATTTTGGCTTAACATGGAAAATCAACCTTAATTCCATTGATCCATTTAAATTTCACTTTTCTAAAATATATAAATAATATATCCAACCTCTATCTAGCATCCTTCATATTTTCTTGAAATTTTGATTCGATTTGATTATCTGATTTCAATACTGAATTTTACTGCTTTATAGCTTTTAACACAATTCACGTACCAAAAATCTCATTCCCACTAAAATCTTTGTTTAATCCAAACTTTTCATTTACAGGCTAAAATATATAACTTTTAAAAATTACAATTTTAGTCCCTAAACTTTTTAAAGTTTATACATTAGCCTCTAAACTTTCAAAACTTACATTTTAGTCATTAGTCAAAAATTGGGGTATTACATGTGACTGCAGCAAATGTTGAAGTTTATTCCTGATTTAATCTGTTTGGTTGTTTGGATCGTTATTTTGCGTTATTTTGCGTTTTGTTGCAAGTTTTGGTTTGTCCTAATTATATGTACTCTGTTTGGTTTGTTCACTGAAAGCAGTTTCAACTTTGGTACCAACAATTAAGGGTTGAAGCTGAATTATTTAAGGTCATACTGAGAATTCCTTTTTAATGCTAACATTTACTCATTATTGTACCACAAATGTCTGATGTTTCTTGTAGTCGTCTATTCCCCTTTCAGGACGACTAATATTTCGACAATTATTCGCCATTTGAATCAACCGAATTTGAATCAAGTACCGAAACTCCAACCATGGAAAGTACACAAAATCCAGATATTGTTTTTATAACAGTTGATAACGAAGAAGTAGATACAAAAACTACAGCTGGTGTAGAACACGTTGATGCAACCAAGAATGAAGAATCAACTTCATTCATTAGAAGGAAGAGAAAGAAGACTTCAGGAGTTTGGGAACATTTTCGAATGGTAAAGTTGCATGATGGAACTAACTTATGTGAATGTATCATTTTGGAGAAAAGATTAAGAAAATGAAATATGAAACCATCACACCGTTGCATAGGCATATTGGCGATTGTCCAAAGTTGAAAGTGGTTAACAGAGGTCAGTTAAGTTTAAAAGTGTTGCCTGGAAAATAAGATTCTTCATCTATGGTTCGAAATTGGAAGTTTGACAATGCAAATATGAGAGAGGTTATTTCCCACATGATCATGGTTCATAAATTACCTTTTGATTTTGTGGAGTATAAACTGTTTAACGTGGTAATGAAAGAAGCAAATCCATGATTTAACAAGATCTCACATGCTTTTGTTAAACAAGATTGTATTTCCAGTTATGAGATTGGAAAGAAAAAAGTTCATAAATTGATACATGCTGTCAAGCATGTGAGCATCACTACAGATATGTGGACATCGAATCAAAACATCCATTACATGGTAGTTATATGCCATTTTGTAGATTCTGATTTCAAACTTCACAAACGCATATTAAGTTTTGTTGATGTGCCTCTACTGTATTCTGGAGTCTATATCTATGATTCACTTTTTAAGTGTCTAAAGGAATGGAACATTAAGACAAAGGTGGTGACTTTGACAGTGGACAATGTTAAGACTAATGATGTGGTGGCTAGAAAATTGATGGAAAATTTGAATCTTCAGAAGAAACTTGATGTTGGTGGAAAATTATTTCATGTGTGATGTTGTGCACATATTCTTAATTTGTTAGTTTAGGATGGTCTTGGAGAAATTGAAGACATAATTCATAATGTTCGTGATAGTGTGAATCATGTCAATGCCTCTCCGGGTCGATTGTATATCTTTAGTGAACTCGCCAAACAACTTTCAATGCCAAAAAAGCACTTGGTTTTAGATGTTAGTGCCATGTGGAATGCTACATATGCTATGTTGTCTACTACTCTAGAGTTCAAAGAAGTGTTTGTGAATTATGTCGATCGAGAGTCTACATACACTACTTTACTGAGCGAGGAAGACTTGAAAAAAGTTGAAGAGGTTTGCTCATTCTTGACACTTTTCAATGAAGCTACAAAAATCATTTTAGGTATAACTTGATTCCTTTTTATTAATTTTTTAATACAAATAATTTACTACTAATTTTTTTTAATTTTATAGGTTCCGAATATCCTACATCCAATATATTTCTTAGCGAATTGTTTGGGATAAAAGAAGCATTGGATGCAGTAGTTTTAGGAGGAAGTGATTACATGGTAGTTATGGCTATGAAGATGAAGAAAAATTTTGACAAGTATTGGGGTACTTGTAATTTGTTAATTTCAATTGGTGCTATTTTAGATCCTAGATATAAATTTAAGTTGTTTGAATTTTCTTTTAATGAAACTATTTGAGTTCTAATTGATGTCATTCTCTCTATCAGGTATAAAATGAAATTGCTTGAGTTTTCTTTCAATGCTATTTATTCACATGATGAGGCTCCGAGAGAAATGCAAATAGTTCGAGATATTTTATATGAGTTGTACCAAGAATATGTTGAGGCTCATAAAGCAACAAATGTTGTTTCATCTACTGGAAATGATGGGATTCAAGGTGTTAGTATTGATGGTACTTCTAAGAGTAGTGTTAGCTCCTTAATTAGTCGGTTTGGTAAATGTATTAAAATTGGCACAACTAAATATGATCAACATATTAGAAGTGTCGATACTTTTACATCTGTCAAGTCAGAATTGGACACTTGTTTGGAGGAAAGAGTTTTAATTGGTGAGCCTGGTGTATATTTTGATGCCCTCTGATGGTGGAAGGAGAAAAATCTTAAATTTGGCATTTTGTCAAAAATGGATGTTGATATCTTGGCAATTCTGGTCACTACTGTTGCTTTTGAATATGCTTTGAGTGCTGGTGAGAGGGTTATTGATCTGCATCGATCCTCTTTAGGAACTAAGATGGTAGATATGCTTGTTTGTGGAGTTGATTGGTATCGTCAATACTATGGGTTAGAGAAAAATAAAAACAAGGTATTTTTATGTTTTAAGTTTTATTGAATTTGGTTTTACAATGACTACTATATTTTTGGCTTTTTGATTTGTTGTAGCAAAACGAAGATATCATACATGTTGAGCTTCCTTGAAAATGAGGATGAATGAATTTGTACAACCTTGCTAATTTAGTATACTTTTCATCTTTTGTTATAACTCCTTTAATTTAATATAATTTGATTTATTTGATTCTTATCAGGATGGATGGTGAATTAACAACTGATCATGAATGCAAGTTGAATATGTTACGAAGATTATTGAAGTTATTTGAATTTCAAGAATATTGTTTAGTTGAACAAATTAACTTTAAGACTTTATTATGTTCATATAGCTTATTTATGATTTATGTATGTTTTTGTTGTATTTGAACAAATTAACTCTAAAGTTGCAGGTTATATTAATGAATTTTAAGTTGTTATTCTTGTTGTTTACTTTTTTTTTACATTCATTTGTTGTGTTCGAATAAGTTTATTTTGTGTGTGTTTGAGTTGTTTGTTTATATTCGTTTACATTCGCTATATTCCTTAATGAACGAACATGAACAAATTATTTTTTGTTCGTTTATGTTCGTGTTCGTTTATTTGTTCGGTTAAAGTTAAATGAACGAACATGAACATATCTCAGTTCGTGTGCGTTCGGTTCGTTTACAGGTCTATTGAGAGTTACACCAATTTATTTCTAAATTTTGAATATATAAAAATAGAAATAATGAATTATGAAAAAAATATGGAATGAAAACAATAATTACAATGAAGAACATATTTTAAGAATACAACTGATCAAGGGAAGAAATCCACGCCCAACAATAAGAATGATAAGTTTAAATATTTGAGGTGAAGATGAAGAAAACATTGAAACTAAGCACAAAATTGAAGAAATGTGCACATTATAAAAACTTTCTTATTTGTCTTTTTGGTTATTTCGACTACCACTTTTATCTCATTGTTGTCAAAAATATATCATGTTCGGTTTCATGCTCATCCTTAAATACCGAGAATTCAATATTAGGATAAAAAATAATTGAGGAAAGAAATTGAAGAAAGCAATTAAATTAACCCAAAATCGAAGAAGATATACACATCACAACTGAAACTAATTATGCCTTCCTATAGATAGACATTTTAGTGAGATGATTCTAAGAGCCAAGATCTCGAACCTCACTAAAATACATTAGAAAAATACATCATATTGTTTCATTGATTATATCTTATGTTAATTTATTGTTCAGGTTCTTAATTAACTTATTATATTCCGATTACAATTGAGAATTGTTGGATTTAATTTCATGTTATTGAAAATCATTAGGTGAAATGAATAAAGTATCTTACCGTAAAAGAATTGACATGATTTAATAATTTTTTATAGAAATAAAAGTCATTAATTTTTTTAAAAAAATCTTTAATTATGATGAATGCTTATAAAATAAACTAAATATAAAACTATGATGGGATCAGAAATTCGTGCCCTTGTTCAAAATGTGCATTCTCTTAAAAGTCATTTTGAGCAGATTTCATTCAACCATATGCGAAGAAATCAAAACATTCCAGCCCACCTCCTTGCGAAATTGGGCAGAACACTCACCTCGCAAATGTTTTGGGTTGAAGAAGCACCGCCTGAAGTTGAAATAACAGCCGCTCGTGACCGTTGGTGGGTTGATCCGCCTGGTTAAGTTGGGATCCTTCATCGGTTTCTGACCGGAGTTTCTTCATTCCTTTTCCGTCTCTCTGTTTTCATTTGCATGCATAAGTCATTACTTTGCTCTGATTCATCCACAGAGTTTGAAAACAGTTGTTGATCTTCTTCTCTCCATCACTTGGTTGGAGGTTTCTGGAAGCTGTCTTCTTCTCTCTCGTTCGTTTTGCTTTGTTTTGTTGTCAGTTACTTCATCTTTTTGTTTTAAGTTTGGTTTTTGCCGGTTGAGTATGTTCCCGGTAATGTTTTTTTTTACTTGACAGCTATTTAATAATAATGAGATCAACATTCACAGTCAATATATATATATTACATTTATTATTACTATTGACACAATAAATTAGTCGTTGAAACTATACGTTGAAAATATTAAAAACATATATAAAAAATTGAATAAAATATAGATACGAACAAATCTATTTATATTCATAAACGAATCATAACAAATAATTAAACTATTGAAATACTATGACTATCACAAATCATAATCGGGCATCGTGCGAAAACTATATCTGAATGATGATAGAAAAAATATATCCGTATAAGACAAAATTATTAAAAACTAAGAAAAAATAAGAGAAAAACAAAAATGTGATAGAAAAAAATAAAAAGTATTGACGGTTGACGACCAACATTAAAGATGATATCGCCTTCATCCAACAAAGAGAATGATAAAAAAAAAAACAATTAACAAAAACATAGACAAAATTAAGGAAAAAAAGCCAAAGACATATTATCAATATGATTTAACAAATTTTACTACTCTTGGACTTCACATACCAAACATGGCTGGTCCAATGGTAAGGCGTTCCTAAGGATGGGCATGTGTCAGATTTTAGGCCAACCCAACCCAGAAATATATAACCCCTCCAATCGAAACCCGATCCAACCTGAGGTTAGGGTGACTTTATCTGACCCAAAACTCAATCTATTTTTTGAGATAAAATCCAACTCCAGACCGACCAGAAACCAATATATTTACAAAAAAATTATTAATTTTATTCGATAAAATAAGGATCTATATGAAAAAAATAATATAAAAGGAGTACTATTGTAATTATCTCTAAATATATAAGGTATAATTATATTGTTTTTCAGGATGGGTCGGGTATTTTTCACCATAAAAACTGACCTGACCTAACCCAAACTTATTCTTTTAAAAAACTAACCCGACCCTGATTTTTTTTAAAGAACTAACCTAATCAAGTCGAAACCCGTTGTGCTTGAGTCCGTGCCCATCCCTAATTTCCAACTTTCTTACAAACATCGAGTTTGAGTCCTCCTAAACCCCAAAGCTCTTTAATTTATTTTCACTCAAGATCAAATGATGACACACGTTACCATCGTATTGGAGCGAAAAATTATTTAATTGAATAAATTTAATAATGAAAAAAAATCTTTGAATCTAGTGGTAACATGTTTCATTATCAAATTGAATGATTATTATTTTTGAATTAAATTAAAACTAAGATAAAATTGATAGGATATGTAAACAATGAGGAGCAAATGTATGCTTCTACCAATTTTTAATTGCCACGTCAACGCATCCGTTAGATATTAACAACATGTGATTTAATTGATAATTCTTAAATAGCTAAATGGTTTGATTAATAAATTTAAAAGATTAGGGTGTCAAAATAAAATATGTCTATAATTAAATGGCCATGGATATAACTGACCTTATATTTAACAGTTGCGAGTCTCACAAATGGGTAAATTTTCGCATGTAATGAGGTTAAAAAAGGATTTACTTATATAAAGGATTGAGAAAATTATTATATAAAGGATTGAGAAAATTATTTTCTTATTTAGGGTCATTGCTACAATACATCATGAAAGACGTCCATATTATCTGATAATTTTTACAAGACAATGGGATTACACGATGTCTTTGAAAAGATATCGTTCGAACTGTAGTGTTGCTAGTTTATGGGCATGCATGCATCTTGTGCGAAGATGCTAAATCTTTCATGCGTTTGTATGAAGAAGTCATATGACTTATACAACTTCTATAACGTAAATAAAAATCACTTTATTTAAAAAAAAATTAGAATGATGAGAATTTTTTATTAAATAATTTTTACTTAGAAAAGGAAAACAAAATAAATTTTGCTTTTAGTGAATATTAAACTCATAACATAAATAAAAAAGAATGCGTCAACAAAAATCTTTTAACCACTTAATTTCCCAAAAACAATATCTAGCAATTTTCCGCCACAAACGCAACGGACGAAACAAATTCAAATAAAAAGAAAAGCGAGACTTCCCTCGCATTTCCCGACGGTCAGACATTTTAAAACCCAAAATCGCCGAATCTAAACAAAGTTGTTTCGCCTCTTTCAACTACTCCTATCCACATTCTTCATTTTCTCTAACATTTCTCAGCCAATTGTCTTTCTTATTCCCATAATTTTCTGTTTGAATGGAAACCCTAAGAAGTAACTTAGGTTCTCCCTCGAAACAAGCCACCGTTTTCAAGGTGAGGGTGGTGGTTACAGTCCTCCCGTTTCAACCTCGAGAAATTACTGCAAGAAACGGAAACTCGAAACCCTGTGTTTTCCTTCTTGACCATCAAGATAATGATTCTTCTGATGAAGTTTCTGTTCATCTTAAAGATCCTAATACTAGGTAAGATATTGTTTCTTTTCTGGGTGGGAAGAAAGATTGATGTTTGAGCGAAGAAGATACATATGGTTTTTGATTATGGTTCTTTTTTTTTTTGTGTGGATTGTAGCCGAAATGAATGCTATAGATTGGATTATTTCTTTGACCAAGGTGATGATAATGTCAGAAGGATATTCTATAGAGAGTGAGTTATTTGATTCCTGGAATTTTCCATGGCTTCAACGCCACCGTTTTTGCTTATGGGGCTACTGGTAGTGGAAAAACTTAAACCATGCAGGTACGGTGAAAGAAGCAACCACTTTAGGGTTCATTTGAGCTTCTGTTGTTCCTTTAGGGTGATATTTTGTTAATTGTGCAGAGCTGAAGCACATGTTTAATGTTTTAAATACAGGGGACAGAAGAGCATCCTGGTCTAATGTCATTGGCCATGTCTACAATTTTGTCTATATGTCAAAGCACAGGGTGCGTAGGAGAGATTTCATACTACGAGGTCTACATGGATAGGTGCTATGATCTTTTAGAAGTCAAAGCAGAAGAATTTTCAATTTTGGATGACAAAGATGGGCACGTTCATCTAAGGGGCCTGTCCCGGGTGCCTATTAGTTCCATGTCTGAATTTCATGAAGTCTTCTACTGTGGAATTCAGAGAAGGAAAGTTGCACATACTGGTTTCAATGATGTTTCTAGTAGAAGTCATGGCGTCCTTGTGATTGCTGTTTCCACTCATTGTGATGGTTGTTCTCGGCCTGTTTCGATGGGGAAGCTCAACCTCATAGACTAAGCAGGTTGTTTGGTTTCTGAGAAATTGTTTTGTTGTGTAGGAAGGTGGAACTTTTAATTTGGTTTAAGTTTTATTAGGTAATGAGGATAATAGGAGAGCCTGCAATGAAGGCACTCGTCTCCAAGAGAGTGCTAAGATCAACCAGTCGTTATTCACTTTGTCGAATGTGATTCATGCTTTGAACAACATGCTGCCCAGAGTACCATATCGAGAAAGCAAATTGACTCGAATATTGCAGGACTCACTCGGGGGAACCAGCCGTGCATTGATGGTTGCTTCCTTGGTATGGTTTCTCAAATTGTGCAATTTTAATGCATGTTTTTATTCACAAATTTTTAAATTTTTGATCAATTTTCTCCTTGTTCCATGAACAGAATCCTGGAGAGTACCAAGAATCAGTTCACACTGTTAGCTTAGCTGCTAGGTCACGTCATATATCAAATGTTGTTTCTTCAACACAAAAACTACAGACACCAAAGTAAAAGGTTGATATGGAAGCAAAACTGAAAGCCTGGCTTGAATCAAAAGGCAAGACAAGAGTGCACAAAGAATGGGACCATTTGCTTCTCGAATCATGGCTAAAACACCCAGTTCCATACGTTCTGTGCAGAAGCTTGATTATAACAGCTCTTGTAAAGCCAAGAATTCTACCAAAAAAGATCCATCTAATGCCAAAGCCAGGTACAGATGACTAGTATTTAAATGCCTTGTGAATGGACTGAGTTCATAGACTCACTGCTTAATTTGTTAAACATATATGCAGGGACATATCTTTGACTTCCAGAAGTTTATTCAACAATGAAGGTGTTGATGTTGAGGAGATCATGTTGGAATCAGCTATGAACTTACCTGGTATGTTTTTTAAGTATGAAATCTATTTGACAAAATTATATGTCCAAACATTTTGTTTTAGTAAAAAAAAGGTTCTTATTCAAGGTATCCAATTTGTAGAAGAATCATCTGGCAAGAAAGAGTTTATGACAGTGGAAACTTGGCTGATGTTACCATGGGATTATCTCTGGTTAATGAGAGGAAAACCGCAATGCAAAGCCCTCTAAGAAAGGTCCTGTCCTCCATCAGTTCCAATAGAATTCCAGAATCCATCAAGGATTCCTTGTCATATGAGCCAAAAGCTCCCCAATAGCCTCCAGTCTCTGCAACCAACAAATTTAAAATGTTGGACCCCACATGATAAACTTAGCGCATGGAGTTCTAACTTGAAGGTATAATATATATATATATATATATATATATATATATCTTACCAAATTTCTATTGATCCTATCTTAGCCATTTGTTTTAACTTCATAAATCTCTGTAGAGCACTCTTATTCAAGAATATATTGAGTTCCTAAATACAGCTAGCAGAGAAGAATTACTGGGCCTAAAGGTACATTTCAGATAAGTATACTAAGCAGTTCTTTCTCAAATTTTCTTCTTATCCATCATTTTAATTTGTTTTATGTGTTATAGGGTATTGGATCGAAGATGACAGAGTACAGAATTGAACTTGGAGAAACATCACCTTTGAAATCGGTAAGCAAAGCATTTCTATGCTGTAATATAATTTTAAATAAGTCTTTTGAATTATGGGTATAAAAAGCTAAGCAGCCAGCATTTTTGGCTTTGGTTGTTGCAGCTAAGTGACTTGGAAAAGATTGGCCTTTCATCAAAGCAGATTTACAACTTGTTCAGTAGAGCTGCAAAAAGAATTATTGAGTGAGCATAAATTACACCTGGCCCTTTGTTACTTCCAAAATCCTTGCAGTTAAACCATGATCCTTGTTTTTCATTGCAATGGTGTCAGATTACATAATGTCCCAATTTGTAATATGTACTGTTTCTTGATCTGGTCACTTAGAACTGTATAAGTGTAAATATTCATGCAGTACATCCATTATTGTGCTGCTTGTAAATTTAGAAGATGGTTGTAAAATATCAAATTTGTCTCATCTAATTGGTTTTGTTTCGGCCTAGAACTTGCTGCATTCACAGTCAATAAAGGCTCAATAATTGGGATGTGGACCGTTCCTCCATCATTTTCTGTGCATTACACTAGTACGAAAGTCTTCGCCTTTGGGGTTCTGATTTCCATCCAAAATCACACACCTCAATTACCTTACAGATCACATTGAAATGAAGTCATATTTCCAAATCCCATGTTATTTCTTATCAAAATCCCCTACCAGCTCTCTTCCATGGAATCCAACAAAAACAGAGAAAAAAGAAAGAAAAAAAAACCAAGAGTAAAAGACAAAGGAGCTTCCTTATATTAGAAAAGGCCAACTACAAGTTTCTTACATTGTAACAGATCCTGAGATAAGCAGAGACAATGGCTAAAACTGGACATAAAGACACGATAATATTAGTAACTTAAACTATATAACTGCTGTAAGCACCAAGTAACCATGGCGACAACAAGCAATCCATGTCGACTTTATTGTAAACACATGAAAACGAAACAGATTATTTCTTCCTCTCTGCGTCCAGGGAGCCTCTGGTTTTCCCCTCTCTTCATTTACAAGTGCAAGGGTTGCAGGTGCAGTTGTCTCCACACTTGCACTTGCCGTCGTTCTCAGCCCCAAATTCCATCTCAGCTCCCTCGAAGTGTCTGCCATGCATTAGAAAACATGGATCAGAAGCCTCAAAAACAATGTAAAAAATAATAAAAATAATAATAAATGAACTCTGTAACGTACGCTTTCTGGGGTGCCACGCCGAGGACGAGAGTCTCGGTTGTGGTCATCTCGGCAGTGTTCATGTCAGGGTACATCTTGCATCTACAAGTTCAAAAATCGAACCAAAAACACAAGATCAGTGGCAAAAAAAAAAAACGATTTTGAAGAGACCCATTAGGGTAAACGTGAAATCATAAGAGAAAAGGGGAAATGAAAACAGAGGACATCATTAGTTACCCTCCACAGCCGCTGCCGCACTTGCAGCCGGAGCCGCAGCCACAGTTTCCACCACAGCAAGACATTTTCACCGGTTAAAAATCAAAGTGATTCTAACGAGTTTTCAAAGAGAATAACAACACTTGAACGACTATACAGGGCAGGCAAAGGGCTTTGAATTTATAGACCGGCAGAGACGAGAGAAGTTAAATATCAATCGTACACGTGTCATGATCTTACGTCAAGTGCTTATCACGCGGGAGTCGTTTCCATTGTAACGCTTGACGTGCTCTCTCTTCCACGTATTTATCCAAAGTATCTCTCCTCCTTTTGTCTTCCTCATCTTTGAATCACCGTCCGATCCATCTAGGTTTGGATTAATAGTTAGAAACTGCTGATAATTTTGGTGGTGGGCCCCTTGGAGACGTCTAGCACTTGCCCCGCATTAATTAAATAATTTAAAATTTGATATTTTTACTTAATTACAATGATATGGATAATCTTAGTTTAGGTAATATAAAATTTCTAACTTGCTTTTTGACATTTTTACCCTTGGATCTTATAATTTTAGCCAATTTCCTCTTTGTTTTATGAGTTGTTATATATTAAATAAAGTTTAGTGAAAACAATTGTAATATATCCTGAAAGAAATTAATGTGGAAATGGTGGAACCCATCTACAAGCAGCTTCACGATCTTCTCCTTCCTTTAGTCAAAAAGAAATTGTGATTATCTCTTGATTTTCGTGAACATGATAAACGGAAACCCTTTCCTTTTTCATCCGACTTTTTGAAAGAATGGACCCAAACAACAAACCTTTTTCATTTTAATTCAGGTGTTTAGGTAATATCACCCGTTAAAATAAAATGTTAAAAATGATAAATGTCATATTTATATTTTAATTTAATATAAAAAATAAGTGTTTAAATTATACTCTAAATTAACTTTAGATGTCTAAAGAATTTTTCACGAAGAATAGATACCTAATATTTTCAACGTTACTTTTTTGGGTACTTAAATTATAACGACCGTTTATATATATTTTTATTTTTTTTATAAAAAGTTAAAATATTATTTAAGAAAAAAAAATCTTCCCTCTAGCCTGTATAACCCTCTCATCTGCGCCAAAATTACCCTATCCTCAGTTACATTTAGAACCCCTCCATGGTCTTCATAAATCCCTAAATTTAATTTAGGATGAGAATGATAAATTTAAGATTAGAGTTAAAAATTTGGGTATCATATTTAGATATTTAAGTTTGGATTTATGGATATAAGGGAATTGAGACGATAACAAGAGGGATGGTCGACAATGGAGGTTTAACGATGAGTGAGTGTCCTTTCGACGATGGCAAAGGCGATTAGTGATGGCCGAAGACAGTTGATAATGGGGTTAAAATGAGATATTTTAGGGTTGTAAGTTTTTAAAAAAAAAATTAAAAAATTAATAATTTTTTTAATTTTTTAAAAAAATAAAATTTTAAAAAAATATAAAAATGACATGTGTCACTTAACAGTATCTTAATGGTCATTACTGCGTAGGTACTTAAAAGTATAATGTCAGAAATGTTAGACACTTATTTTTAACGAAAAATTCTTTAGGCACTTAAAGTTAACTTAAGGTATAGTTTGAACACTTATTTTTGCATTAGGCCAAAACATAAACATAACATGTGTCACTTAACGGTTTTTTAAAAGTCGTTACTGCGTAAACACCTAAAAATGTAATACAAAAAACGTTAAGTATCTAAAAGTGTAACATCAAAAGTATTAAACATATAGTTTTAACGAAAAATTCTTTAAATACTTAAAATTAACTTAGATATAAGTAAATCACTTATTTTTACATTAAACCTTTATTCTTTCCCCTCTTAGCCTTAGGTGTGTCCAAAATCAACCGAGTCCGATTGCTGTGGAAAATGAATAATCTTTTGATACGATTATTATTCAGAAAGATGAAGAATTTTATGTTTATAAAATTAAGGGTAAATATACAAATTGTCTCTAAATTATAGGATAATTTTTTGTTAAGTTCTTCGATTATTAAAAGTTACAAAATAGTCTCTAACTATAATATATTTTGTTGAGTCGTCTAACTATTAAAAGTTATAAAATGATCAGCTGAGTATTCATATATTCCAAAATCATCATTTTTTATTAAAATATTTACACTCGTATGAGCTGGACGTTAACATACTGACTGAGATATGATAAAATCATATTTTAATGATGTCTATGGGAACCGACAATGCTTTCAAACACTGACTCAACGACATAATGTAAACGGAGATTTGATCCATAAAATAAAACTAAAATAGTTTTGAAATCAAATTTTATTATACCTTGGTCAATAGGTTAATGTCAATCTCAAACGACTGCCAATTTTTTAACGGAAAAGAACGAGTTTGGAACATAGGAATTGTCGAGTGACCATTTTGTAACTTTTAATAGTCAAAAGACTCAACAAAATATCGTCCTATGATCGAAGACAATTTTATAACTTTTAATAATTAGATGACTCAATCAAATAACATCTTATAGTAGAAGGACCATTTATATACTTTTTAAGAAAACGACTGTACCGGATAATCCTTCGATCCATCACTACGTGCATCCATAGACAACAACAAAGTCAATCACTTTCAATTCTTAGGCCACATCTCTTTATCATTCATGCGTCTTCTTCCTCGAGCCCATTTGCCGCATCCATGTTTTCCGACATCTCATTGTTAATCAAAGTAAACATATTTGCTATTGTAAACTTTGTCGATTTTTCATTGGACGGGTCTTGTCCTTTTGCCTGGACCCGGATAAGAGAAAAAGAAAGAACAAGGCATGGATTAACCCTACAATGTTCATGAATGCCTGTCCAGTCTCTTTCAATTGCACAATCAATGAATTTATATATTATTGATCCGTTAACTTTCACATCAACATTATAAATTATCATATATCATAAATTAGAACAGTTAACTTTTACATCAACATCACAATAATCAACCATAATTTCTCTTAAGATAACATTGATGAAATTTCATAGTTTAAAGATAACATTAATGAATTTTTTCCTTAAAAGAACAACATTAATAATTTGAACCAAATATGAGAATAAAAATACATCTAAAACCCTAAATAATAAATATAATAAAAATAATAATGGTGATAATAATAATAATACAAATAATAAAAAATCAAAATAGTAGGTTCAACAACTTTAATATTTAATTATATTATTATTTATTGTTATTATAATTTAATAAAATTTTATTTTTGATAAAATAAGAATAGGGATAACCACGTTACATCTTTACACATTGAGAAGATCTCATAAGTTGAGACAATTTAACATTTAACATCATCATGAACATCGAATGTAAACAATTAAGTTACGAGTTATTACGAGCAAATAACTGACTGAACATACCTACTTCATCTGGGAGGAGAGAAATAGAGGATTGTTTGGAAATATTAGTAGGAGCAGAGAGTTGATTTTAAATCAATTGGTGAAATCATTTGATTTAGGATTACATGGAGATGTATAGATAGAATTGAATATTCAATTAATTCTTTTCTTTATATAGCTTAGGACATAAGTGATTGAGTATCTTTTCTTTTTTCCAAGATGTTTCTTCTTTTATAGTAATTTAATGCTGCTTTGGATGTAATACAATCAATTTATTCAAAAATAATAATTTATTGAACATCAAATTAAGAATGAAATAATTGATTATAAGTTTTAAGAGAGTGAGAATAATACATGATAATCAAGAACTTAACCTAATAATAATGATAATCTGAATCAATATTTTTTCTTAGGATGTGTTGCATTCAGTAGGCAAGCACTACAGCAAAAGTGTTTTGTAGCGGCGTTTGGAGAGTAAACGCCACAATATTTTGAAATATAGCGGCGTTTATATTCAAAACGCCGCCAAATGATAATATAGCGGCGTTTTCCAAAAAATGCCGCAATAGAGTGGTAATTTAGCGGCGTTTAAGGCACAAACACCGGTATAGAGTTATTTATAGTGGCGTTTTATCAACAAATGCCACAAAAGAGTAGTCATTTAGCGGCGTTTTTATACAAACACCGCTATAGAGTAGTAATAGTGCGGCATTTTTGATAAACGCCACAATATGGTTGTTTTTAGTGGCGTTTTATGTACAAACGCTGCAATATAGTGGACATATAGTGGTATTTTAACAACAAACGCCGCAATAGAGAAGAAATTTAGTGGCGTTTTAGGCCAAACGCCATAATATAGCGGTGTTTATACCTAAAATGCTGCAATAAATAATACTTTAGCGTCGTTTTTAAACAAACGCCAAAATAGTGTTAATCACTAGTGGCTTTTTTATAAACACCGCAAAAAATATGTGATATAGTGGCTTTTTTTAAAACGTCGCAAAAATGTTAAATATATGATCCTCTCTTTTCTCCTACCTGAACCCTAAAATCATTTTAACTCTTCTTCCCTCAAACCTTCTTCTCTGGTACAACAACAGGCTGAGCATGATTCCAAGCGACGTCGTCTTTTGAATGTCCCGGGACCAAATCGACCCTCCGATTGACGAACTATAACACAATTGCACGATTTGATCCCTCTTATCATTAATGATATTTTTCATTTTTGTTTTTGTAGGTATTTTGAAAATGGGGAAAACCCAGAAAGTTATCGTATTAGAGAAAAAAAGAAGCAGGTGTTTCCTTGAGTAAGAGAAATTATCGTAGGAATGTCTACGTGGCGTCTTTGCTCTGACGATGAATCAAATTATCGTTAGGAGGCTATCGGTCTGATCTCGCCGTCGAAACTCGATGATGACCCGAAAGGAACTTCATTGCTCCATACCCTTCCATGGCCGATCTCCTACTTGAAGATAATAATCTATAAATCTTTAAGCCGCTATATACTATTTTTCTACGGTCACTAAAATTTCATAGATCATACGGATGTAGGATCTTCGAAGCTTATTGAGAACGATGATAGAGGAGTGGATAAATACTCGATGTTTAGAACCGAATTTGGTAACTCTGTGGCATTGAAAGAATCTTCAATTGTAAAAGCAGTATCTATCCTCAATGAAGACTATGTTGCCTCTACTGTTTACTCCAAGTAAAAATTTATATCATCTATTTAAATTTCTTTTAATGTTTGATTCATTTCCCA